CACTATAGTTTTGATTTTTTTTCAACATGTTTCTTTTAATTTTGCTGAAGAGAGTGAACTGAAATTACTTATGAAGCATGAAGTACTCATTTCAGAACATGAAATGAAATACAAAATAATTATAATATTAATGCAACAGTGGGACTTGCCAGTTGATAGTGAAATGATCTCAACTTGCAATATGTTCATAAAATTAATTTTACTGACCATAAAACATCAAATATGATTAAATGGATCAGAAAAGAGATAAATTCCTGCTAGTAAACAATACATGCATTACACTTCTAACTGTCCCTTTCTTCATTTTCTTTAATGCACACTCTGAGGAATCAGCTGATCTTAGTCTTGCAGAGTTTCTCTGCGCAATTAAGTACTCAGAATATAATTTGCTAAGTTCCACATTACGTTATATATAGGTTGCTCTCAAAGTAATACCTCCTATTTATTTCCATGGAAACTAAAACAGATAAAAAGAGCAAATTCTCAGCTACAAAACACTATTTTTCAACATAGTCACAATGATTAGCTATGCACTTTCACCAGTGATGAACAAGAGCCTGCTTGCCACACTCATAACCATCTGCATAGTTATCTGGAATGTTCCATGTCACCACTGCTGAAATGCACCACCCACTACATCGTTATGCTGATGCCCACTGTTCAATCTCCATAAATGCCCAGCAACTGTCTGCGAACATCAGTGGGTGCCATGTTCTCCATATGGAGGAAATCAATTCCATGCCTTTGATTCATCCTCTCTTCTATATCAGAAACCATTTTGTCAGATTGCCCCTCATCTGTCATCTATCACAAGGTGACAGAATGAAGCAGAATTTTAGTGGGAAGGTTCAGTCTCTATTGCCAAACCATCAACATCTGCCTCTGATGTTATGGGGCCAGCATAATAAGGTAGAAGACATTGCTTTCAGAGCAGACATTTCATAAGACTTCATTAACCATGTCCTTTTTCTTCCTCTATTAGCTCTGTTATGACCATACTGACATTAAAAAATGTTTATGTTTTAGCACATGGGCATAGTAAACAAACAAGTAGATAAATAGATATATAAAAATAACAACAACAACAAAAATCATTATCTTGCTGTATTCTTAAGGAAAAACATCCTGTAATGTCTGTCTACTTCAGTGCCAAAGATGAAACCAAACGTAGCAAGTGTTCAAAAGAAAAATCATTGTATATGCATTTGTCATATTAGTTTACATTCTGATATGCATGTGTATGTACATGTGTATATGTATGTTTATGTGTGGATGCACATGTGGAGACTTTATGTATATTGAGTCACATGAACAAGTTTCAGAATTCTGTAAATGGAGTAGGAAAAGTGACATTCACTAGAGAATTTGGTCACAGAAATCATCATCTCATTCTGGATGAAGTTATAGGAGCCAAGCATATGTAGATTATACTAATTATATAGGTTCTCTCCAAGGCAGAAAAAGAAAAGTGGGATGACATTTTCTCTGGAGGGACATATCTACATACTTCACTGACTATAAAGAGATCCAGTGCACCTACTTAGGTTAAATGCTTTTATCTTTGATAGTTAAAAGTTAAGTGAGATGAATTCCACATTGGCTACCAAAATAGTATTGAAAATTTAGCCTAAGTGATTTATATAAGGTCATATAGAAATGGCAACATATTTAATTGAATCCTATTTTCATAAAGTTACGAATAGTGCTTCAATATTTGGCCCATCCTTCCTCTATTTAAAATAAATAAATAAATAAATAAGAAGTTTGTTTTGTTTTTAATGTTTGAATTCAGATAAGAATGTCAGGCTTTAGATCAGTTCACAAAACCAGGTAAGAGGCATCTACAAGTTATACCACATAATTTTTCACCTCCCCTGTCTTCTTGTCTTGAAACTGGAGACAGTAACAGAGATTCATGAACTACTGAAATAATGTGAAGAAATGTTTCTCTCAATAAACATTTGGCTCTCATGCAGAGGCAAAATTACTCAGAAATTTTATTTTTATTTATACTGTTTGTTCTTCTAATTTAGCAGTAAACATTCCCTGCTCGCTCAGGAAAATGAAATATTAGATAATTCATACAGAAATGGCTTAAAATGTGGACTGAAATGTCAATGGAACAACTAAGAAGGTAAAAGAGTAACATGGGTTATTATTTTTTATATTGTATCAGCATGTAAAGAATTTAAACCTGGAGTAGGCCAGGAAATATTTACAGGGGAACTTTGTAACTGGTTAGAACCAGTTGAAAGATTGTCAAGAAAAAATGCCATGCAAAAATTTGTTTTTTGTCTAAAATTTATGAAATTCAGAAATATCAGCTCCAAAATATTTTCATTTAGAAAAAGTTTAGTTTAGTTTCTAATTATCCCTTTGTATAGGCCTTTCAATTTGAAATTGCATATGAAAGATGAAAGTATCTACACTGAATAAGACATAAGACTTTCAAGAAGTCTTTTTCTTGATAACTTTTTCACATTTTTGCCCTTTATTTCCAGATCAGTGGGACTTTTATTTATTTATAATGATTTCTGGACAGAATCATAAAAAGACTGAGTAGATTTTAAAAAGAAATTTAACTATTAGCAGCTATCTGCCATTTCTACATGAAAGCTAAGAACTATTTTTTTCAGTAAATTTGGAACTTTTTAAAATAAATATGAGGACAAGCAGAGTTCTTGAACACAAAAAATGTTATTAAAGCACATCTTCAAACAGGCACATCTAGAAAAGCCTCAAAATTTTCAAATTGAAAGTTACCACGTGACATTTCAGAAATACCTTCTATATTAAAATATCAGCTATACCAGGCAAACTCTTCAAATTGGAAAAAATGCTTACATATAGAAAAGTGCAGTGTCAGACTTTTCAGTATGGAGTAATTTTTGAGATCTAGCATTGAGGTTTCAGCAGATCGAAATTATTTTTTCTGGGAAAAACCACTACCAAACAAAGAACAAGAAAAAAAAACAAAAACCCAACCAACCAAGCCCCACACACATTCTCACACTAACAGTTATGTAAATATTTCCAACTATGATAAAAAAAACTATGATAAAAAAAATTGGTATTTCTAAGTCAGATTCAGGAAAACTTATTTTTAGGTCAGACTGCCTCACATAAAGATTTCAGTCAGTTTTGATAGTAAAATAAAAGAAGAAATAAGAGGCTGACTATTAGTATTCCAATGATCTTAAGAGGGGGGGGAGGAATTATTTTTTTCCCCCTAAGGAAACATTTGATTTCAAATTATTACATTATTATAACCTCATGATATGCTTTACTTGCAAGAGCCACCATTTATCAACAAACACACACAATTATTATTATTAAAATATTAAAATTCCAACATCTGCTACAAATAGTAAAATGTGTTAGAACAGTACCAACACAGCTCCAAGGAGGTCTGCTTTTTTTTCCTGCAAGCACAGCAGCTCAAGTAAATTACATTAACGGAAAATAAACAAATTGGTGGTTTGGCTGTTATAATTCCACAGAGCTTAAATGCCTGGATGCAGATATGCAATTGTACAAATAGCAAAATTAAAATGACACAAAAAGCAAAAGCAATAAGAAAGACAAACAAAGAAACACTTCACTTTTTTTAATGAGAAAAATCTGAAAGATTTATTACTGAGTCCTCCTTTGTGGAAATCACACAACAAATAATTATTTTGGTGACAAAGAATATTCTCAAAAGCATATTACTTTGTCTGATTTTTGCTTTATTACAATGAATTTAGTCAATAAACTCTGAATTCATTACAATACGTATAAGTTTTAAAAAAGATTAGGAGCCCCCTGACTAAGACTATATATATAAAGTATGTCATACACCCATAAGAAGAATTTTCTTGTGACTCCTTAAGTACTTTGTTTGCACATGATGGCTTTGTGGAAGATGCCAATACTGATTTTCTTAAAAAGGTAGGATCATAGCACATTTCTCAATTCTCATTGTCTCTCTCAGATTCTAGGTGATTTTATGTCAACTTTCATTTCAACCAGTTGTTTAGGAAGCCTTTCCTGTATTCATTTGGATCATTTTAGCAATCTGCTAAATCATAGAAGTTCTTGGGTTGGGAAGGACCCTAAAGATTATCTAGTTCCAGCTCCTCCATAGCGGGCAGGGTTTCCACCACTAGTTCAGACTGCACAGTGTTCCAGTCAACCTGGCCATGAACACCTCCAGGGATGGGGCATACACAGCTTGTTTGGATAACAGGTTTCAGTGCCTTACCTCTATCATCATCAATGATTTACTCCTTATATATAAATCTATCCTCTCTCAGTTTAAAACTATTACCTGTCATCCTATCACTACATGTGCCTTCCCATCTTTTCCTTTATGTATTAGAAGGCTACCGTAAGACCTTTTCACAGCCTTATCTTCTTCAGGATGAACAAGCCCAACTTCCTCAGTCTTTCTTCATAGAAGAGCTGCTTCAGTTCTTTGATCATCTTTGTGGCCCTCCTCTTAACTCACTACAACAGCTCCACATTCCTCCTGGGAACCTCAAGCCAGGACACAGACAGTACTCTAGGCGGAGCTTCACTGGAACAGAGTAGAGAACAGTCACCACCCTTTCTCTGCTGGCCACCACTCTTTTGAAGCAGCCCAGGATACAGTTGACCTTTTGAGTCACAAATGTATACTTTTGGCTCATGTTAAGCTTTTTGTCTACCAGCCTGTACACATATCTGGAATTGCCACCCTGGTGTATTGGAAAACCTGGAAGATATCAAGCATACTTCTAGCATAGAAACTCCTGTGATCTAGCCTAGCCTGAATTCTCATTCACTGAAGGAATATTTGTAACTGAATAATTTTTTCTTGCCTTGCACACCAAGGAATGTTAGGTAAATGCACAGAATGTTCACCATTTCTGTTTTCTTCACAGATGTGGGATGAAAATATACTTGTTAGATATTTGTCTGAGCATTACAATGCAACTGCTTTAAGATTGTCTGTTAACTGTATCCTTTCTTGAAGAAAAAAAAAAAAAAAAAACCACAAAAAACCAACTGTCAGCAGACAATTTATTATTAAAAATAAATTATGTTATTGCCTATTTCTTTTCCTCAGAAAGCCCTGTTGTTTTGTTTTTTCTTTCTGAATATTACATACAAATTATTGCAATTTAAAAAATAATAATAATCCTGCTCTGTCTTATGAGGATTGCAGTTCGATTAGCTTTGCTCTCACATGTCTCTTCAGACCACATTCTATGAGTTCATTCTGTTTCCCAAAGGGTGCACTCATATTTTCTCCAAGAAAGAAGATTATGGTGAATCATCAGAATGATACATTACAGGAAACATCATCCAGTTTGAGAAGCTAGCCCAAGAGAAAACAAGTATAGACAGACAAATGAATTACAATTTCCTTGGAACCCTATGTAATTCAAAATGCATATTTTCTGGAGGAAAAATATATACATATATATATAGTAATATATAATTATACATTATTTTGATTTTTTCCTCTCAATAGCAATAAAAGTATTTTTTCCTGAAGAGAATAATTATTAGTTCTTTAAGCTGTTCATTATGTTAAAAACAAAAATTTCAGTTGGAATTTCATTACTATTTTTGAAGGAAATTTTCACTGGTGTAATATACAAAGTCTTGACAAAGTTTGGGGTGAGTTACACCTCCAGCTTTCTGTTCTCATAGCCTAGTTAGAACATCACTGGTCATTTAAGCTGCCAAATACCACAAGGTGTACTGCATATTTAATGCAATTTGAGTGGGACCTAAAGCCCACACATGTAATATTTAACTTTAGAAATCACTAAAAATGCTTAATATGATGAGGAAATATTACTACCATTTATTATAAAGAAAAAGTTTCTCAAAAGTGAATTAATTCCATCAAATTTAGAAGTGAATTTATTCCATCAGCCAAGTGAAAAAAAAAGAAATCTAAAGAAACTGCTAGATTCTTACAGTGAATACCAATACCAGTCTATTACTTATTTTTCTAACAGACTGTATTTCAGAGTGCAGTTTATAAGGAAACATAGAATTTTGTATTGGTACAAGACTTCCACTAAGATATTTTTTTTTTGTTTAAGAGAGAGGTAACTGAAATTTAGATTTCAGAGTAAGTTAGTAATATTTTAATCTGAAGATCTCATTAGTAATAAGCAAAAAACAGGAAAAGTGTTTTTTTCCTTAAATTTCACAATACATACATTATTTTAAGATTATATTGCTACAGTAACATGAAGATATTAAGGAAAAAGTACTTCTCCATTAGAAAAATGGAGAAATTGGGAATTTCACCCCATCTGTTTATTCATCCTTCTTTTATCAAACCAAGAAAGTAAGGGACAGTTAATAAGCCCCCTTCTGTGTTTGAGTCTTTTTTTTTTTTTTTTTAAACATAAAACATAATATGTTTATATATGCTTTTCCCAGAGCTTCAGAGAATCAGAGAAGTTAGAATAGTATGAAGTTCGTTCATACTAGAAAACAGAAAATGCGTATTTTCACTAACAATGTTGAAAAAAAAATAATGCTACTGTGTTTAGTGGCTGTCACTGATAGCAAAGCTCAGAAAAACAGTGACTCCTTTCCTTTCCCCATAAGAAAGGATTCAGTGAAGTGGCATCCAGAGGAGTAGATTTTCTTGCACCCATAATTCAGAGCTGGACCCCATGGGAAATGTAGCAACAATGACATGAGCCGAAACACCAGGATCTCCAGAAGCCTGAGGATCCTGAAATGGAATGAGAGAGAGGAAATATGAGAGGAGTGGTGCCACCAGTGCCACAGTGTGAAGCTGAACGTAGATGAACCTCTTTTAAAGCAGCTGTAGTCATGATGACATACCCTGTACAACATGGTGTGTCTCTGCAAAGCCAATAGCTAAGAGGATGAAAAATCTTGTAGGATGTTTACTGTGCTTGTAGTTGAGACACAGTCAGTGTATTCTGGGGAACAGACTCAAGATGGGTGATCGCAAGATTATTATTTATTAATTTATGCATTAAATATTTTAATATTTTTAATATTTTATATTTTATAATCTGTAATCAATCATTGTATGGTATAATAAATAATCATCGTATGGTATAATAAATAATCATTGTATGGTATAATTTTTAATATTTTGTATTTTTAAATATTTAAAATATTTATTATATTTATCAATATATTATTTTCCCCCCCATTTTAGATACTGGCAAATATAGACAATTTTTATTCAGAAGTGCCAATACAAATTTTGTAGCTAAAACTTCTGAAGAGTTGTTTCAAATCCTTATACCTGGTCATCTCTGTGCAATGCAAGTGACATAACACACATTAAGTTCAGTACTTGACCAAGTCTAGCCAAATTTAAATATCCTTACCTCTTAATCTTTTGCAGTGCATAAACATAGGTTGAACTGAATTTTTGATTTGTGATTTTGGAACTTGTTAATTCTTCTAAAAAACATGGAAATAAATGCCAGTTTCTTGCTGAAATATTTTATCAGCTGCAACAAATAACATAGTGCTTCAAGCTTTATTTGAAGATACTCTTTGAATGCATATACATTCATTTTTTTCCTGATTTACACTGGCATAAATTCTATTACAAATATAAAGCTTTTTCTAGGGCTTGAAGCCCAGCTACCATTTAAGTTAATATCTCTCTTGACTTGATTAATACCTAATTAGAAGAAAAGAGAAACTGTATAGTTCAAATTCCTCACCGTATGTCAAAGTGACTCACTGTTTCCACAGAAGAACTGAGAGCATACAACATCACGTGCGTGGAAGAAAAATCAAGATCATGCACTGCTTTCATCCTATCACACACACAGAAATCCATGTCAGCATTAGAATAACATGTGACTATAAAGCCTGAATGCTTATATATGTTTATATATATATATATATATAAAAAAAAAACTCTTTAACATCACTTTAATTTAATTCAGAGTTTTCAATTACAGTCCTTATGAAGAAATTTAAAACTGTAACTCCAGTCATTTTTCAGCTCAAACTTGACTAAAAGGCCCCAATATCAAGATAAATAATCCCCAAACTAATAAATAAGTGTACAGTCAGTGAACATTAAGATGTTATAATTACAAAATAAACAAGAGAGTTTGGCAAAGTAGATAACAATAACAAAAGAAAATAGATAGAAAAGCTTACCCCTACCCTGGGCTCACTTACAAAACTACAGCAGAGGCAATCTCCAGAAGAGATCCTTCCCTACTGGTAGCCAACTCTTAAATAGATCTAGGAGCCTGGCTCCACCCCTTCTGGCTTCACAGGGGAAACAGGGGGCCCCAAAATAATTAAAAACAGCAGCAACGATCTGAGGAGAAACAAACTAATTTACTAAATATGGTATTGGAATGCAAGATAACACACTATAAAACATTATAATTAGAATTGAAGCTAATAAATCAAATATAATGACAGATTGTCCAAAAGCTTAAGGCCTTTCACTAATGTTGAAGTGATGTGTGCTGTTGGGACGAGCAGCAGGGAGCAGAGCCTGACGAAGAAGAAAAAGGAGGTCAGATGATCTTATGAAAAATCATAAAACCGTGACAACTTATTCTGTGTTCATAACACTGGTGTGAATAACAACTCATACCTCCCTAAGTACAGAAAATGGGGGAACTTTAATGCTGAAATCAAGAATGCATTATATGACCACATACTTCTTAAATGTTTCACAGTTGCTGTTCTGTTAATTTTTTTTGTTAAAAAACAGCATTAAGATATTTTCTTTCATAATTGTCTCAAATTGAAATCTAATTTAGATTAATTCAATTTTAAGGAAAAAAAAACAGTCATTAAAGGAACCCTGTTAACTTTCATTGATCTTGGACCATTTACCCAGACACTTATTAGAAGACAGACATTTTTAGAATAAGCAATATTATTTGGTTTATTTTGTTATAAGTTTTTTTTCTTCAAAATTAGAACGAATTATTCTTTATGAAATTTTTATGGTCTAATAGATGTAATGTTATAAGTTGGCTACAAACATATATATGTACACAGTGTCAAAGCTTTAAAGCTTTATAACACATTTCAAAATTTTGATTATAAATTATCAGAGGGCACATAATAATAACATGTAAAAATAACAGGATTTTTTTTAAGGTTAAGTGCTTACTAGTGCTGGATCCAAAATTAAAGTTCTCAGGAATGTGTAAGAGATTATTCTTTTACATCATTGTCTCAAGGCTTTCTGGAGACACAGATGAACAAGTCCAAGCAAGTCCTGGGCAAGGGTTGAGAAATCCTTTGTCTGAGGGACACAGATGGACAAGGTCAGGGGCAGCGAGAGAGAGATAAGATGCAGCTTAATGGCTGTGAAGCAGCCTTGTGTGGACTTTTCTCAAGGAATATGGCCATCTCAGGGGTACTCACATGACTCTTGCTCAAGTGCCCAGGGATGTCACATACGCAGGAGAACAAGTAGGATAAAAGAGGAATTGAAAACCATGACGATAGGTGTCTGCCTCCTATGACATTCGTGCATGCTGATGGACTCTACTGGGCCTGCTGCCTGAGTCCTGTTGCTTCCTCCCAGATTGGCTCTGTGACTTCTTCCTGCTTCCTGCTTGATCCCCAAGACCAGCCATGCTGTTGCTCCCCTTCCCACCTCCCCTCACCCCCCCCACTGCTTCTATCTTGGACCTTTGAAACGTCGTGCAATGGGACGTGCTTGAACCTGGTGGTGACTCTCCCTGCTTTACACAGTTCTTGCTTCTTTCCTATCTTTTCTATCAGCCTCCTTCCTTTCCCCATCACTCTGATTAGGATTTATAATAGACTGGTTGGACCAACATTTGAACCATTGTTTCTTAATCTCACGCCGGGTATGCAGCTATTAAAAGAACCTCATCTCCCTCCTATAAATTGGAGTGAGACAGAATGCCAAAGAAAATTTCTGACTGAATATAGCAAAAGGTTGAAGAAGAAAGATTTCAGATCTGTTTCATGTAATACACTGCACATATGAACACCAAATTTGAATTACTTCTACAAACATTTTGTTAAGAATTTTGAGAAATAAACTTAAGAAATTGTTACAAAGTGATTGGTATTTTAGTATTTTTGAAGTAAACTCCAATTTCTTGCATTGTGGCAAGACCTGCACTAGAGCAAATGGGTCATCCTTCTTAACTCCTTATCAAGAAGAAATACTTCAGGAGTTCAGTAGTTTAGCATTAGAGACTTCTGCGTCTAATCAATGTATATTCAAGACGTGGTCTCACAAGCATTATTAAAAGGGAATAATCACTTTTTGAAACCAGTTGCCATACTGCTGGCACTGTTACACAAGCTTAGTCCATCTCAAGCCCAGAACTTCACCTTCATATTGTTGAGCTCAGGGTGATCTTTTCACTCTCTGAAAGTCTCTTTGACCAGTTCCTCTGACAGTGCGGTATCATCCAGACTGCTTGATGGTGCATTCTATCCAAACACTGAGGTCATTAATAAAGCCATTAATCAGTAATATCTGGTGTCAACACTTATCACAAACTGCCAGTTGGACTTTTAAATCTGATATTCCAATAACCCTCCATTTATCCAGCATGTCCAATTTGGCTGTAAGAATACCAGAGGAGGCATTACTGAAGGTCTTCCTAAGGTCAAGAAACATGAGATTATCTGCTCTCTCCATGTCCACAAATCTAGTTATTTCATCAACTGAGTCAACTGAGTTGGATAGACAATATTTGCCTTTGATATATCCAGCTGCTTTTTCTCAATCACATTCTTGTCCATCATTCACCTACCATAAACTTTACCAGACGTTTTCCAAGAAAACATTTCTGTTTATTAAGTACTACAGAAACAAAATTTTCCTTTTTACATTAGAGAAATATTAAACATAGCTTATGCTTTGATAACATTATAATGCTACACATTCTATGTCACATTTTGACCATTCTTCCTGTATACTCTCACATGGTACAAAAACTGGCATCCAAGAAAAGTGTTTTGTTCATCACTCTATGAGAGTCAGACTTTCTGCCCTAGGGCTTTGGTCTTAATGGATTTATTTTGCATTAATATGTCCTGAATTATTTATAATATCTGCTAATAATAATTGTCAAAATAATTGCATCCCAAGTAGCTATGGGATATGGTGAGTATACTATTAAATTTGAGATAATTATGCAAATGGATGCATGCAAATGTAACCTCAAGCGTACATTTACCTAATTAGTAGAAAGCTAACACCAGGAATTTGCCCTCATGGCAGTTTTGTTCCCAAAAATGGCATTGCTAGTTGTCACTTCAGAGTATTGTAGTAAAGTGTCAGAGCAACTACACCTGCTACAGCTGATTTTACAAATATCAAGAAAAACAAGTGGAAATGTCAAAATGGATGCTTTTTATGAACGTAAGGGGAAGAAATAAAATGAAGAATACTCATGAAATTGTGAAAATACTTTCTATAGAGAGTTTCTGGTAGAATGATTCTTTCTAAGTTTATTCTCTCTTATTTCCATTCATATTAGGAATTTTTATTAATACATTTATGAGAAGATTAATATTATCAACTGAAAAAGCAAGCTAGTTTATTTTAGTGCTGTAAAAGCAGACATTTAAAAAATTTCCTGTCTACTGAATATAACTAACCGTTAATTTCTTCTGTATTATTTTATCACCTCATCTATCTGTTGCATTCTCGTCTATCCAACAGTTATTTCCATTCCTGTTACAAGATTATCCCTTTCCAAACAAAAAACGAGGTCACGATACATGGCTTCCCTGATTTTTCTCCAAGAAATAGAAAGGCCTGAATTAATGTTTTCCAGATAGTCTTACCTCTTTCACACACCTTTCACACACTTTTTCACACCCAAAGTTATGAGAAAGCAGAGAAAAACTTTTTGGAATTTACAAAAAGTTGCAGTAAGTCTGGGAGCAGGAAATAATGATATAAGGAGAAGATGCACCTTCTAGAAAAGGTTTGCTCTGTTGTTTTTTCAATTTCTTTTGGAGAATTGGGAAAGAATAGTTTTGTTCTCTGTTTATAAGGGTTTTTTTTTTTACAGAACAATAAAAGAATCTGGAATTAAAAAAAATGTCGGAGTCAAAAAGATGAAAGAGTAAACGGCCAGTATCAGACTGCTTAAAGGAAAGTTTAAATTCTAAACGCTAAACTACCAGATATTAAAAGCTGAGCTATCAGAGAATCACAGAATCATGGAATCATGGAATACCCTGAATTGGAAAGGACCCACCAGAATCTGTTGATATCTTTCATAGCAGTCAGATTAAAGACAAGTAGGTCAAGACAGATCAAGTTATTCCATTGTTAGGAGTGAATTCTCCCATGCCATGCTTTTCCCAACAGAAGGTATTTCTATTTTGACAGTTTATATTTGTCTTACTGTAATACAGCAAACACTATTAAAGCACCTGTTATTTTGGATGATATTCTTACTTGATGAATTCATTTCATTGATGATACTGTTATTTGTCAATTTAAAAATAAATAAATGGATGAATGAATTAATGATTGAATTAAAACAAACAAAAAACCCAACAAAACCTGATCACACTTCAAAGCATACAAAATATTGGTAGAAGAAAGCTAAATTTCTCTCTTAGTGAAAAAATAAACAAGAAATTATTTTCAAAGATTTCTTTGTACTCTGAGCTATAATATTTAAGTGAAGCAAGAAATAAAATTTACTGAAAACTTTAAATAATAAAGGATATGTTCTTAAAATAATACAACACATTGCTAACTTCTCCAGGTTATGTATAATTTCCTTTTGAAACTGTTAGAAGAAAATAAAGGTAAAATGACTTTTTTTTTAGATTGGTCTCCAGAGTGTTAGAAGACTTTGCTTGTCTTAAGTAAAGCTAAGTTTTGCAAAGAAACTATTTGAAGAATTAAGGATAAAATAGAAAGCATGAATTTAAAATATATTTAAAATGCATACTGAAAGGGATATGGTTGAAAAGCAACAGGAATACAATAGTATTTCACTGTCGAGGATTTTTAAAAACAATTCAAATACTAAAGACTGCATCAAATTGCAGTAGTTTTCTATGCAGCAAATAATAAAAAAAAGACACAGAAAAGAAGATATAAGATTATCCTCTGCCCATATTAGATTGTACAGGAGCTGCACTTCTTAAAGAGAAACACTACTTTTGGATTCAGAATGTAATCCTGAGTTGAGATGAGACTTAGTACTCTTAAAAGTAAAATACTGTGAATTTCTTAAATTTAACTATCTACATATACACAGAGAATGTTTTCACCACCTCATTATCACCTGAACAAAACAAAAGCACCCCAAATTGCTCAAAGATCTTTTATTTTTCTTCAGAGCTTAATCCATTAGAGGAAGAAATCACTAGATTGCTCTACTCAAGCCATGGTATAAAATACAAAAGGAAGAAAAATAAGAATAAACCGACAAAAAAACCTTAGTGCATCATATACTTATGTGATATTTTCAAGTTATGGGGTGAGTATGCCAATGTATATTATTAATATGCATTCAAGGCAAAAAAGAAGACTAGCAGACCTTCACAGCCTAGAAGGAAAAAAATAAAAACTTGAATGAATGGGAAAAAGATACTAAGAGATAAAGATACCTAGACTTCCCAGAGAAAATTCACATTTTACTTTTTTTTTTTTTTTTTTTAGTAAAGATATCCGCTTAAAGTCTAGTAACATAGAAAAACAGGGTATCACAGAAAATCAAACAAATGAACATATGGAAATTATCTTTGTATTTATAGAAAATACATTCTCTACAGAAAGAATCACAGAAGATACCAGGAAGAATCATAAGAACATTTTCAATAGTATCTTGCAATACCAAGGATATGTGACATTTAGTTACATAGTCAGGTAGTACTTCAAAACTAACAGAAGAACACTTTTCTCTAGATTACATGATATTAACTGAGCAGCTCATTATTGGAGAATATCAAAGCTAGAACATAAAAAATTTCAAAAAGGACAAGACAGATTTATCAAGGTCTATGTTAGGTGTCACTCCATTCTTTTGATCATCTCTGCTCATTTTTGTACTTTTCTGATTAAAAACATTTTTTTTTTTTTTTAGAAGTACTTCAATCATAAACAACGAGACTTGTCAGAAATTGGAAAGGTTTGTTAAAAACAAAAGAGAATGAAGAAAATGAACAAAAGTGTCTACTTGCTGATTTTCTTGAGCATCCACTATAGCATGTATTATAGAATCATAGAACGCTTAGAGTTGGTGTCATGGTTCTATGGTTTTTTTGTTTTGTTTTGTTTTTTAATTTCGGGTTTCAGTATTCCACATCAAAACATCATGTAGTGTATGAGGCATTGAAGTGTTAATGCCCCAATTCCAGGTACCTATCCCTGTACATTACAGAAGTCACAGGATCTGACCCTTCTGGGTGGGGGGGGGGGCGCTCTCTTGCTGCTTTGCAGTGGGTGCTGGAGGTGCTTTCCTAGCTGTTCCAAGGTTTTCAGGTTTGACTCGGTCCCAGGAACTCTCTTTCTTATCTTGTCTGATTTATTAATCTTAATTTCAACTAAATTGTATATATTGTGTTATCTTGTATTCTAGTATTATAATAAAATAAATTCACCTCCATAGATTGTAGCCGCTGTTCTTTTTCTCCCTTCCTTCCTTCCCATTTTTGTGGGACTGGGGTGGAGGGGGGAGGAGCAGAGGCCTGTTGCCCCTGTCACGGACATAGATTGATCTGATCAACTCTGTGACAGTTGGAAAGGACCTTTAAAAGTCATCTGGACCAAATCCCCTACACTGAACGTGGACATCCACAGTTACATCCGGTTGCTTAGCGCCTTGGCTAGCTTGTCCTTGAAAGTCTCCAGGAACAAGGCATCCACCACATTTCTGGGCAATCTGTTCCAGTGTCTCACCATCCTTGCAAGGAAAAGTCATTTTCCTTGTATCCAAACTGTCAATTTTTTTTTACGGGCTGATTCGGCTTGCTTTCTTGACTAGAAGGGTGGAGGGACCTGTGGAACTGTGCCTCTGGAAAGGGATAAGGGAAAAGGGTAGAGAGATGGGACTAAAACAAAGCAGCGGCAACAACCTGAGGAGAAACAAACTAATTTACTAAATAACATATCAGAATGCAAGATAACACATTATAATACAATATAATACAACATAATTTGATTTGGAGCTAATAAATCAAATATAATGAGAGGGAGTGTCCAAAAGCCAAAAGCCTTACAATAATGCAAGACATGTAGTCAGGATGAGCAGAAGGGAGGACAGCCTGATTTAGCGACATTGCCAGGGGCTTTATCTTGTCTCTGAACACAAAGTCCTCTGGGGTATGTAGTTGTTCTTCTCAGAACTGAAGCATTAACTCTTTAACTACCAGTGCACTACATGATGTTATGATGTGAAATATTGATAGCTGAAAACCATAAAACCACAACACGATCTAAATCTACTCTCTTTAGTTTTGAAACCATTTCTCCTTGTTCTAACACCACAAACCTGCAAAAGACTCTGTCCCTTCTTTCCTGTAGCTTCCCTTTAGATGCTGAAAAGCTGCTATCAGGTCACCTCAGAGTCTTTTCTTCTCTAGTCTGAAATATCCATAAGTAGAAATAATTTATCCAGAAATAAATTAGTGAATTTCACCTCTAGTTTCATGTGGCATAGCTTTCCATGCATTGTTAAAGGATATTATTATAGATCTTAGATATAACTGCTTATCCAAGGAGTGCAACTTCATCCTAATGATAGAATTTTAGGGAGTAGAAGGGACCTCTGGAGATCATCTTGTTCAACCCCTCTGCTAAAGCAGGTTCCCTAGAATAGATTGCACAGGAAAGCATTCAGGAAGGTTTTGAATATCTCCAGAGAAGACTCCCCAACAGCTTGTTCCAGTCCTGTCAAAGTAAAGAAGTCCTCTCTCACATTTGCAGGGCACTGCACTACCCACCATGTCTTGAGGGACCAACCCCTTATGGTGGTAACTGTGACAGGTACCAAGATCCAGACACAGTGAGGAGCAAGTTGGGTCTAGATTCACTTGGAAAAGCCAGTAAGTGCATTGGGACCAGAGATGATGAAGCAGGTCCAAAGAAAGGCAACAAGGCTGGTGAAGAGCTTGGAGAATACGCTCTATGAGGAGAGTGGTGTTGTTCAGTCTGTGGAAAAGGAAGCTGAGGGCAGACCTTACTGCTCTCTTCCAATATCTGAAAGGTGCTTACAGCAAGATAGAGATTGGTCTCTTCTCACTGGTGACAGGATGAGGGGAAACTGCCTCAAGTTGCATAAGTTCAGGCTGGATATTTGGAAAAATCTTCTTTACAGAAAGGATTGTTTAGCACTGGAATAGGCTATCCAGGTAGGCGGTTGAATCGCTATCTCTGAATGTGTTTAAAGACCATTTGGATGTGGTGTCCAGGGACATGATTTAGCAGAGCATTGTTAGAGTTAGGGTAGTATGGGTAGGTTGCAGTTGGACCTGGTGATCTTTGAGGTCTTTTCCAAACACAGAAATTCTATGATTCCATGCCTCTGAATACAGAGCTAGTATAGAGCTCCTAGCCTGGGTGATTAGAGATGGGAAGTGTCCCATGTGGGGTTGGCTCAGGTCAGTGATGCATGTCTGACAGTGTTCTCACAGTCCTATAATTAAATTTCTACAATTAACACTGTTTCATGTGCAGCTAAGGTCTGATGCGATTTTAAATGAACAGTTTAAAACCTGTCATATATTGGAAAAACATTATCCAGATTTCTTAAACATAGCATCCCAGGTCGTTCACTAGCAGTAGAAATATTATTTATCCAAGAACACATTGTGCATTAGGCTGCACTTGAACAGCTTGAACTTTAAATTCCTCTTTGGGAAAGGGAAAGAGCAAGAGCTTTGGAGCAGGACAAGCACTGGGTAGTGGCCGTCCACCTCCCCTCCATGGGGAAAAACACACCACAGTACAGAATGAACTACTGGTTTTAAACTCCGTGATGGTGAATTTCTCATGAGATGTTTATAAAGCCATTTTTTTTTTCTTCATCTCAGAAGAAGAAATTGGCTCTTTGGAAAAATTGGTTCAGCTATATAGCTTCTGATGTACTGCCTCCTATAGCTAAATGAATTAGCATAGTTCACAGAACTCTCCTACATTGCTGCCAGTCCCTTCACACTTACTATTTGTACCCTGACAGGCTTTTTTTTCCCTAGTAAAAATGAAACTAGTTCAGAAATCCATTCAACCGCTCCCTTTATTTCATTATATTTTAATTAATTCTTTGAAAACTCCTATGAGAAAAGGATCTGAACTTTTTCAGCACTGAGTTTAAAACTAAAATTAAGGCAATGAATCAGGTTGTAGGATGTTAGAAGATAATATTCTAAAGGAATTTGCAGCACAGCACAACAGAATTGGAAACTGAACACATTTGTTCTGAATACTGAAGTACACAGTATTTTTTTTTCCTCAAAAAAAAAAAAAAAAAAATCCCCACAACTTGGTTCTGTTTAGGATGAGATCTTTGTCCCATTTTGTACTGCAAATAGAAAATGCCCCTACTTTTCAATGTTACTATAACAAACTTTAACAAATTCACTCTTTAGTATAAAATAACACAAATTATTACATCTAGGATTGAAACAATTATACATATGTATATAGTACATATATACATATATATAGTGAACGCATTTGGTTAAGGAGAAAGGACATATTTTGCGTTGTTATTTTTCCATGTAATATACACGAACGTCACATAATAGAGCGGATTATTTCTGATATTATTTCTTATTTATTTCTTATTATTTCTTATATTTCTTATTATTATTCTAATTATTTCCACATTATTTCTTTTAGTAAGGGACCGATTTCTAACCAGTCTTATTTCCAACAGATAGATTATGGTAACTCCACCCATTGTCATAACTATCATATTATCAATTCAGTGGTCCAAAATTCATAGCTTATTATTTTTGGCACCTGTAGCCAAATATCTCATTTGTTCCAGTATTCAGTGGACAACATATTTTGGAAAATTTTCTCCTACTCTCATGCAAAGTAAAGCAAAAGGATGGCAGAGGGATTGCAGCGTAATTTCCATTGACCGAGATATCAAAGACAATAAGAATAGTCATCTTCCGTGAAGTCTAGGCTGAGTCCTATACTGAAATGCAAAATAACCGGACATTAAACCACTCTGCTCAAAATGACTGCACTACAATGGGCAGCTTTGAGACTATTGATCCTGAGATCTTTGTGGAAATTTAGTGCTTGTCCCACTTCACAGAAAAGGACATTTCAAACCAAACCCAAAACCTGGCTTGCCACATATTTCCGTAATATTATCCCACAAATCTTTTGCTCTAATTGTGTTGTGTTTTCCTGTGTTCTTTCACAGCCAGAGAACATTATATTTAAAGTAACAAGAGCATTGTTTAAGTCTTAAGATTCAGTATTATTAGCTTACACCGTACTCATTTGAGCCTCTTCTGTATGCCCCAGAGGAAGTGACAGAGGATCTTAACTCTGAAAAAACTGTCAGAACTAAGTAAATAATTGGATAAGGTCTGGGCAACTCAAGAGAGGGTCATTTGTCCTGTAGGACAAACTATAGGAGTGTGACAGGACTTAGAACATATTGATTATTTAGAAAGAGAAATAAAGAAGTTAAAAAAAAAAAAAAATCACTGGTATAGAAGATAAGGTGAACTAAAGTGAAGAAAATTTTTTTTGATTGATGTCATACTGTTTTATCTGTTTTCCTTTGTATTTATGTTATGACAGGTAAGTATTTTGTTTTGAAGAGGATCTCCCAAGTCATCACAATTTTAACAGGTCACATACTACAAATGGGAAATCCATTAAGGCAGCTCAACAGCTTTGGACTTGAAAATGTGATACAGTTTTCTAAAGAGTACTATTGTCACTTGAACACATAGTTGAAAAGGAGGGATGAATTGTAGAATATCATCCAGAGATACAAACATAGGGGCTGACACTAGGGAAGCAACTAACATGAGAAAAGGACCTGTAGCTGCTTAATAGTTCAACTTCAAGCTTAACACTGTCTCAGTTCTTTGTGTACAAAAATAGAAAATTTTTCTATTTTTCTTGGTAAGAAGTTATACTGTTTTGTTGTTTTTTTTTTTTTTTTTCCTTGTTTGCTTGTTTTCAGAAAGAGAATCAGATATTAATATCCTTATCATTTCATTTTTTTCCACATTTCCATATAGCAATTTTTCGCTATTTAATATTGTTTGTTTTAATCTAATATTTAATGATGAACACAATTAGAATACTTTAAGATTCAAATACTAGAAACAACAAATTGAAAACAAATTATTAATTTAGGATTGACTAGTCATCTATTTAGAAAGATATAAATTAGAAGTAACCATACTATACGTTATACTAACCCCAGATACATAAGATATTTCTAAAGGGCTATCGATATCAGAGGATGGTTAATTAGGATATAGCTATTCACTGATTCTTACCTTCAAGGTTATTGTTTTGTTTTTACAATGAAGTAAAGGAAAACAGCATTTGGCAAATCTTGTTATTTAGACAGAGATACAGTGGAAATTCCTCAGAAATGGAAAAATGCTAATCTAATAGAAAGTGAACCTCATTATTACAACTGAAGGAATTAAGACTGGATTTGACTTTTAATTTATATAGCAGTTCTGAGAAAAAGCAGAAAGAGCAGGTATGTCAGAGAACTGCAGAAATCTGCAGTGCATTTGTCAGACTCCATAAGCCAACTGGACAGATAGTACCCACTAATGTCCCCCCGCAAGGGGCTAGATCAGGGTGGAGGGGCAGGAGATACTTCAGAACACAAACACTAATATCAAGTTGGTGTTTGTCCTCCAAGGGGAAGGAAGTAAAGGTAGAAAGAACAAAGCATTCTTCATAACTTACACATTTTTTGTTCATATTTCTGCCAAACTAATTGGCAGCACAGCAGTGTGCCAGTCTGTGTCAGTAACATGGATGTCGGTGACCACTGGAGATCTATCCAATCTGTGATTTGCCAATTTATGTCAGTCACATGGATATCAGTAACCACTGGAAGTATACCCTGGCCTCCCTGCCAGTCATCCCCCCCAAAAAATTAAACAAGTTTCACAATTCTGACCTGGTTTGTCCTTGTTCTGTGATTAAATGGGATGGAGAGATCCACAGACCCAAGCCCTGAGATGAACCTAAAAACAAAACAGTGGCAGTGAGCTAAAGGAGAAAATTAATTTACTAGATATGATAGTGAAATGTGAGGTAAAACAATATAGTACATTATAACTGGAAACTGAAGCTAATAAATAAAATGAAAGCGAGCATGTTCAAAAAACCTGAAAGCCTCACTCTAATGCTAAAGGTGAGATGGCTAGAGAGCACACACTACAGAGACAAGCAAAAAAACAAAAGAAAGGAACAGTCTCATAACTCCCAGTTTAATCTTTCGCATGGAAATGCAACAGTGATGTCTTCTGGGATATGCAGCTCTTCTCTTCAGAGAAAGGTATACCTGGAACTATCAACAGTCTATGGTACTGGAACATTAACTCTTTAACCCCCAGTTCACTACATGATGTTATGGTG